AGATAAAAATAACGACCCTGCATTTCTCCCTTTTGGTAGTACACACTGCTTGCTGTTATCTTCTTTTTTTTACAGCCATAATAGAATTTTTCTTTTCCTCATTCTCAGCATGAGGCTTTTAAAATGCACCAATACTCTCTGGCTTTTGCAGCAATCCACCAGAGAGCTATTTTCCCCTCCAATTTCTTTCTATGAGCCTTGACAGATTTCATTTACAAAAGTAGATGGTATTTTAAACATTACCTGTCTGGCTCTTCTCACACCATCCAGACCTCAGGAGTAGGTTTCAGTAATTCCATTCCATTGACTGGCAGCGAGAGCCTTGCAAACTTCAAGGCACCACATGTTGTTTTCTAGCAAAAACTTGTTTATCACAGAAACATCCAAAGAGGCCATCTGGAGACAACTAACCTTATAAACCAAATTGGTTTATATTCCAACCTGAGTCAGCTACTGGAAATGGAGTGTCTTGCATTTTGGAGAGGGGTGGGGGTGGGGGGAAAGCAACTTGAATTTTAGGCAGTGGATAGTAACTTTGCGAAGCCATGTCGAGTGAAATCTATCCAGATGAGTCCTTTGTGCTGGGGACACATGCTTGAAGAATTCAAGTTTTTCTGGATTTCCAAAATGGACTGAGTCCATAGCTTCTGTTTGCAAATTAATCAGGTGTTTGCAATAGCATTATGCTTCGGCTTTCTCATGTACTGTATTTTTCAGAGTATAAGATGCAGCTTAGTTTTTGGGGAGGAAAATAGGGGGAAAAATCTGCCTACCAGGTATTCATCTGGCTAGCGTCCTTAGTCTGGTCAGCTTTATCCCCTGCTTGGGGATAAAAAACAGCTTCTAAGGCACAGCGGAGAGGAAGCAGCAATGAGAAAAGCAGGCAAAGCACGGGGAGATTGCTTCACTCGGCTAGCGCCTAGTTAGGGCTGAAAAAGAGCTTCTAAAGATCAGCTGAGAGTCGGAGCAAAGCATGGAGATCGTTTCACTCGCTAGCGCCTCATTAAAGCACAGTGGAGAGTCGAGGGAGCAGGCAAAACTGGGAAGATCGCTTCACTCGCTAGCGCCTCGTTAAAGCACAGCGGAGAGTCAGGGGAGCAGGCAAAACTGGGAGATCGCTTCACTCGCTAGCGCCTCGTAAAGCACAGCGGAGAGTCAGGGGAGCAGGCAAAAAAAGATCGCTTCACTCGCTAGCGCCTCGTTAAAGCACAGTGGAGAGTCGGGGGAGCAGGCAAAACTGGGAAGATCGCTTCACTCGCTAGCGCCTCGTTAAAGCACAGCGGAGAGTCAGGGGAGCAGGCAAAACTGGGAAGATCGCTTCACTCGCTAGCGCCTCGTTAAAGCACAGCGGAGAGTCGGGGGAGCAGGCAAAGCTGGGAAGATCGCTTCACTCGCTAGCGCCTCGTTAGCACCTCGTTAGGGCTGAAAAAAAGCTTAGAAAAAGCTACATTCGGAGTATAAGACACACCCAAATTTTCAGCCTCTTCTTTGGGGGGGGGGGAAAGGTGTGTCTTATACTCCGGAGAATATGGTAATTGAACTTTCTGATGCTCTTCTTGGCTTAGAAAAACCCAATCAATTTGGGCTTTACAATGCATATTTTATGATAAAATTCACTTCAGGAAGCTTGCTACAAGTACATTTATAAAAGTACATCTGGAGAAGAAGAAGAAGAAAAAATCAGCAATGCATATTTAAACAGAATTTTTTTCATTGATTTTTCTTGAAGATAGAGGAAAAAGGCAACGGAATGTAATGAATGAAGGAGCGCAGAAGAAATTGGCACAGGCTGTTAAAAAAAAAGCTGATGTATCTATCCCCCGTAAAGGACAGGCCTGGAATTCAATCAGTCTCTGTTTTCTATATCTCCCATCTGTTTCCATGCAAATCGTTGCTTTAAAAATACCCACAGTATTCTCCTTTAAATATTCAGTTTTAAAAATATACCTTTTGAAGGTGAGTTGTTTCTCAGTTTCTCTCTCTCTTTTCTTTAAAGTTCAAGATAAAGAAATGGATGGAAAATGCTTATGAATCAAAGTGACACAAAACTCAGCCAGAAATGTCTTTGAATCAGAAATTATGGAGATTTTAACCCAAGGATGTGCCAATGGATGAACGTCCCACACGACTGATTGGAGAATTCTGAGATTTGAAGTCCACGCGTCTTAAATTTGCCAAGTTTAAGACACACCAGTGCCTTAATGCATCTATCCATCCTCATTTCTTTTCTCCTTTAAGAGTGGCTGTAACTTTAATTCTCAATTCTGTTCATTACAGCTTCATTCATGGGCATGTACGTACAAAAGCACATTCTCTTTCTTAGGAATCAGGGAAAAGGAAATTAAATTAAAAAAAACAAGGCACAAAGTTTCCTCTTCCCAGCAACATCTTTCAAAACCCCCAAATGGAACCCCACCAAAAGAGTAGCCTTCATTTTTTTTAAAAAAAATATATGTTTACTTATTCATTAAAAAACAAACAAATCACAACTTGTTATTTTTGCTCAGTCAACTCCCAAGGTGGAAGTAATAAAAAATATTAGACAAGCATAAAGCAGGTTTACCCCCTTAACATTTTGAGATCAGCCACAGTCAGTTGGGTGCTACTACTTGAATGGCTGTGTTCTGGCCGAGTTGAAAGAAATGCTGGTGGTACAGAGATATGCCCCAAGTAAACTTCACTTGACATAAAAGATTAAGTCCCATGGAATCAATTTTAATTCCTGGTGGATTCATAGATACATCTGTGGGGTCTTCTTGGCAGCAGGATGTAACTTTGAGGGAGGGGATTTTACTTTTGATCTTCCAGGCTAGACTACAGCCCTGGAAATAAGGGGGACCATAAACCCAAAATAACGAATGGTGGAGCTCTCACTTCACAATCAGGAGGCTGTGAGTTCAATCCTAGGTATTTCTCTCTCTGGGCACAATGACTATATATCTGCTGAACAAAACTCCGTATTGGTGACAGAAAGGGCCAGTAAACTGGCCAGTAAACACTCAGCTCCATTCAGTTGCCCAGACTCCATCCTGCATGGGATTTATGGGGTCATTAAAGGAAAGAAGATAAACTCAAAACTAGTTTTGCACTGTTTCAGCTCACAATCAGGGGTGGGCTTCAAAAATTTTAGCAAGGGATTCTCTGCCTGGTTGCTGGGTGGGCGTGGCCATGGCCTAATCGGCCTCCTGCACCACAGCAGGGGATCGTTTTTGCCCTCCCCAGGCTCTGGAGGTTTTCCTTGAGCTTCCGGGAGGGTGGAAACGGCCTCCCCAGGCTTTGGAGGCCTGTTACCGGCCTTCCTGAACTTCCGGTAGGCCCGTTTTTTGCCCTCCCCGAGCCTCCATGTGCACCCTGCACTTACCTGCATCCCAAAAGGGCCGCGTGGGGATTCCTGCAAGGGGTGGCGCAGGGTGGGCAGGGCCAGGAGTGGGATTTGGGGGTTCTCCGAACTGCACAGAACCTTAGCTAGAGGTTCTCCTGAACCCCTGCAAACCCCCAGCAGCCCGCTGGGGGTTTGCAGGGGTCTGCTCACAATGCTGAAGATAAAAGCTGTTGTTGAGCGGAGCTCTACTTTCTGAGATAAAGAGCATGAAGGACATGCTTCTGAGATTCAGGAGGGAGGAATTTGAGTTGGTGGCCATAACCATACAATCAAACGCCTGTTCTTTTTTTATGTGCATCAATGCCCTTCTTTGGGGATAATCCCTACTGTGATTAATTCTGCAAAACTGCATCCTGGGACAGTTTGCACTTCTCTGAAAAGGTCTTGCAAGGGATCCTCTCAAAATGGTTACTGCATTTCCATGTTTAATGTGACATCAGTGGAAAATTATTAATGACATGACTACAGAATGATCGTGTGAAGTATATTTAATTAAAATTACATTTACATGTAAATTAAATCAAATTAAATTCCTCTAATCCCTTTACAAGCAAGTCAATTTTATAATAGCTAATAACAGAATCGTATAACAAAAAAACACACGTGGAGGTCGGAAAGAATTCCTTAAAATTTACCTACTTTAAAGCATCTGCATGAGGTACAGTCCTCCCATTATGGTAACTTCCAAAGTTGCAGTTGAATTGAAATTTTTTTTATGGATGGTAGGGAGAAATCATAAAATATATGAATAGCAATCCTATTAACAATTAACTTTTTCATTGCAATGAAGCTAAATGATTTTTGAATAATTCCACCCACTTATTTTATAGCTCTTCCACCTCATTATTAAATGCTTGCAAACACTACTCAAAATAATACACCCTGCTTATAACTAAAGGAGGTTTGCTGGGTACTTACCTAGTCAGGCTACAGGAGCAAGATATGACCTGAATTCCTTGGAAGAGAAATAGAGACGTCTTCCTCATTTTCATTGTTTGAGGAACATGAGTTCTGAGGTGTTTATTATTCATTGGCTGAAGAGGGCAATGTCCGCCATTACTCAGACAAGGATTGCCTGCAGAATTCTCGGAATTTAAGTCCACATATATTAAAGTGCTGAGGTTGAGAAACGCTGGCCAAGAAAACCACTCCCAGATATGGTGGCAATCTGGTCCCTCTAGACACCAGTTTCTTATACAGGAAGAAGATTCTCTACAATTACTTAGTTACTTTATTGGAGGCTGGGATGACTTCCACAAAATAGATCTTCTTACTGAAGTGCACAGCAATCAACATGCATTAATGTGCGGGCAGTGGTGAAATGTAAAATTTGTTACTACCGGTTCTGTGGGCATGGCTTGGTGGTGGTGGGTAATGTGACTGGGTGGGCGTGGCCAACTTTTTTTTTTTTTACTTTTAAAAGCATTTTAAAAGGCCGAAGAGGTTATAAAAAAATGCTTTTAAAAGCCTCTGACAATCAGGCAACTCAGCTGGGATCATCAGAGGCTTTTAAAAGCATTTTTTCTACAACCTCTTCGGCCGAAGACAATCCCAGCTAAACTGCACGATCATCAGAGCCTTTTTGTTTTACTTTTGAAAGCAATTTTTCGGCCGAAGAGATTGTAGAAAAAATGCTTTTAAAAGTAAAAAAAAAAAAGCCTCTGATGATCGCGCGACTCAGCTGGGCATAGGGGTGGGGGGCAGGGATTTTTGCTACCGGTTCTCTGAACCACCCGCCACCATCGCTACCGGATCAGGTCATCCGGTCCGAACCGGTAGCCTTTCACCCCTGTGTGTGCCCACATATATACACATCTTGAATCTTACTTCTTCCTTCCATCTTTCTGATACGGTAGATATCCATTCTCTTCAAATCCATGGCATGTAGCCACAGCTTTGTGATGCCCGCTTAGAATCTTTCCTCACCTGTCAAGAGCATCTACGGTAGAAGTAAGCAAAATTGTTTTAGGTGGGCATTAGATACATTAGCAAAATTTTAAGAGTAATAAACCCAACAAAATGGCTGCCACCGGAAACACAAATTGAAAAGATGAGATTGCTCCCATTGTAAAACAAAAAAGGAGACCATTAGATAAAAAGAGAGCTCTGAGGGAATGTTATTGATGAAGAGATCGCAGGAAGGCTGTTAGAAAGAAAAATTAGAAAATCTCCTTCCTCAATGTGTTAGGAGGCTATGTGGGTGTATATGAACATCGATTAGTTGCTGTGATTCTTGCACTACTAGCCTTATTAAAGAGAACTCTGCGAGAAAGGTGTTTATCTTTGCTTTGTGGGCTGGGGCAGATGAGCACAGATTGAACAGAGCTTCAGCCCCTGGGCCTGTTTATTTTCTACAAATGCCAAGAGAGGCCCAGAGGCATTCTGGAAATAAAGATGAAGGTACTCTTGTACCTTACTTTGCAGTGTGTCAATTCCCATTTACTATGATTTGGTTTTTAAGGGTGAGAGATGGAGCCTGCTGGAAACCATGAGAAACAGTTATTGTTTCACCACATTATCTACTCCTGTTCCACAGAGAACATCTGTGGTTGCGTTCTATTAAAGATTTTACAATACATGGAATACATAAAAAAATAATAATACAATTGTGCTGTCCCACCCACTCGAACACACATGCAACAGTGGGTTAGTGGGTTTATTAATATTCCCCAGTGAATTCCCTTCACTAAAAACCCAGAACTGTCCCAATTAAGTCCAGACAAAAGCAGGCCAATGCTAGTCCATAGAGCAATGGCCTCTGAGTCCACAGGGCACTTGAAAATTTGGCAAACAAGATAAATCCACTGGGCAAAATTAAATCCACAATACAAGAGGATGCATGAGGCAAGACAAGTCCAAAGTTCACACGGCACAATCCAAAGTCAAGGTACAGGGTCAATCCAAGGCAAGGCTGGAATCACAACAACCAGGAAACACACAGCAAAGAAATGTACACATTGTTCCCAGCATTATCTCCATCTAAATTGCCAGCTTCCAGTGCAGCCCATCAAGAGGGACAAGGCTGCCTCCTCACGAATCATCAGGCTGATCTTCGCTGGTTCTGCCTTTTCTCTGCCCTACATGTTCTTGGATCAGGTTCAGAAGGCAGTTCCTTCTCCTCATCACTAACCGGCTGCAATTTCCTCACCTGAAGCCTCAGGGCTGCCTGCTGCAGCTGTGCTTCAGCCAAATCACTTTCAGCTGGCTGCTTGGAGCCAGGGATTGGTTCATCCTCCTCTGAACTGACATCTGGAGAGACATCTGGGGAAGCATCTGGAGGAGGAGTCAAATGGGTGGTAATTTCCTGGTGGGGTGCTCTTGGATTTCCAGTCTTTCTGACACATCATTAGTGTGCTTAAGAGGAAGGAGAATACATCTAAAATACAACGTTTGCTATGAAGCTCTGCTATTAAAATAATTGGACATCTTTTAAAAGCCTGAAACACACTTTGCTTGCAATATGCATTATATCCACTTTGTTTCCATAGTGATTCTCTTCTCTGTGATTGGGGGAAGAGAACCTCACAAATAATGTGGCTAAGTAATCAGGTGGGGGTATTTAATTTTTTTAAGTGCTATACTTCTACTCTTGCAGAACAGGGTGAAATGGCATGAACAAATGAGTAGTTTAACTTACCACAATAATCCATATCTTAGAATTACATCTCATAATAAAGGAATTTTCTCTGAAGAACAATCTTCTGTAGACCGAAGAGCTCTTCACGCACCAAGTTCTAATAAATTAGAGGTGCTTCTGGACAAGAGAATATTTATTTGGCCCAGAGCCTTAGAGCATGCAAATCGACAAAACAGGGTCTCTATGTAGTTTTTCACATGACCTGAAATTTGCAACAGGTAAGGAAGAGTAAGTCTCTCTGACCTTCCTTAGTCTCCTCTTGTGTGCAGGGCAGATTCTTGCTATCGCTTTTTTCTGTGAAGGCTCTCCATATCAGGCTCTATTTATAATCAAGACAATATGCTCTTGAAGTCTGCCCTAAACATAAAAAAGACAACAGGAAACAAGATCGAAGGAGTCAGTGATCTCTCTCTCTCTCTCCCCCCTCCTCCCTCCCACCCTCCCTCTCTTCCTCCCTCTCTCTCTCTCTCCCTCCCTCTCTCCCTCCCTCCCTCTCTCTCTCTCTCCGCACACATGCATGTCCACTTTCATGGACTATGAACGTTAACATGCTTGTGAAGAAGGCACAGAAAAGGCTGTCTCAGAAAGATAAATCTATCTCAGCATCTACTTCTGTCCTACTATCGCAGCACCATTGAAAGTGTCCTGACATACGGCATTCTTGCATGGTATGGGAGCAGCTCTGTAGGACAGAAAAGCTCTACAGAGAATCATTAAAACTCCCAGAATATCATCGGGCTCCAGCTACCAGCCCTGGACGACATCTTCGCATCTCACTGTTTGAGGAAGTTGCATAACATTCTCAGAGACTCTTCCCATTCTGCTTACAATCTTTTTGGACTGTTGCCTTCTGGCAGAAGATACAGAACAATTAAAACTTGGACCACGTGTTTTCCTAATAGTTTTTATCCCAGAACTAAAGGGCCACCATCAGTGAGCTGTTGGACAGCATTACTTGATCTGTTGTATGGATGTTTGGGTGGTTCAGGGGTGGGGAATTTGTGGTGGGTGGGTGGGTGTGTTTGGGGCTTGTTATGTGTGTTGGACCTGATCTTTGGGTGTTAAGTGAATTTCGTTGTATGTACTGTGTATACACGTACAATGACAATAAAGTTGTTGTTGTTGTTGTTGTTGTTGTTATTATTATTATTATTATTATTAATTAATTAATTAATTATTATTATTATTATTATTAATTAATTATTATTATTATTAATTAATTATTATTATTATTAAATCTTTGCTGAGATTCACAGCCTTTGAGGCTGGTTAATAACTCAGCAGCTCGAGTCCTAACCAAGGACCTAGGAACTGTTAAGGTATCGTCGGAGGATGTAAGCTGTTCCGAGTAAGGTAGTTTTTTGTACAGTCAAAATGTTCAAGTCCGGTAAATTTAGAATTTCTAAATAGCGGGGTAGCCCTTTGGGTATTGCTCCAAGGGCTCCAATTACAATCGGGACAACACACGATTTCTTTTTCCACAGTCGCTCAACTTCAATTTGCAAATCCCGGTACTTTGTGATTTTTTCTTGCTGCTTATCTTCAATCCGTGCATCACCAGCTATTGCAATGTCAATGAACCATACTTTTTTCTTTTCAACTATTGTTATGTCAGGTGTGTTGTGGACCAACTGCCTGTCAGTCTGAATCCTAAAATCCCACAAGATCTTGAGTTTCTATTATTATTATTATTATTATTATTATTATTATTATTATTATTATTAAAGATTTGAGAATTGATCTTCCTAGGATTGAGAGAGATCACCCAGCTAGCTTGGTCCTAAGGTGGGACTACAATGCACAGTCTCCTGATTTCTAGCCTGCTGCTTTAACCACTACACCAAACTGGCGATCAGATATAAGGAGGATGGCATGAACAAAGACAGATGGACCTGGTGATGGAACCAAGTTTACATACATATATTGTGTGCATTTTATTTCCATGCACATTGCTTTTGGGGTTTATTTTTTTGCCAGTCGCTTTTGAGTATGCTTGAAGAAGGAATGAATGCGTGGGCAGGTAGCTGGGTTGACATGTAAACTTGCCCTATTTTGAAATTTTATTTTGGTTTTCTATTCTTTTCCCTGAACTCCCTCTATTTCAGACGTGAAATTGTTTTGACTTCTATCTCCTCAAAAGAATAAGAACAGAAAACTAAGAACAAAACTAAAAAAACTACCTTCTGGGTTTGAGTGGGCAGAAAAATATTCTAGCATAAATTGTTTTGCCATAAGAGCAAGAAGGCTGGCAACTGACTTTGTCCTAACTGATTGATTGCAGAATAGTTAAGAAAAGTTTCCGTTGGCATTGCTTCCCCTCTGCGCAAGGGTTTCCTGCTGATGGGGAAAACTGCCAAAGATATTCTTCATTTAACAGCTAAAATTGGGACTGGCAACTCGATCATTAAGTGAAGCAATCACTAACTGAAACTGTGGCTATGCTTATGTTATTCTTTCTTCTTTCTTTTATTTTACAGACTTGCAAAGTCATAAATGTGAGGGTTGGTCACAATTATTTTTTCCATCATTATTGTAACTGCAAATGGTCACTAAGTGAGGCATTTGCTAGGTAAGGGCTACTTGTACCAATGTCAAGCTAAGCCCAAGTATGATGAAGAGCAATTCATACAGCATTCAGTTCTTTATTTGCGTACACACAATAAACCGAGTCTTATCAGACTAAACTTTACTACTCTCACCCTAAGGGATATACCTGAAAGATTACAGTAGTGGCCAAAATTGTGGAAACCTTTTGGGAAAAGTGTATTTTCTAAAACGAGCTAATAACACCACTTTTTTTTGGGAGTAGTACCATAAAATTATATATCAATGGAATGGAAAGATAATTTAATCAATAATGCAATGCAATAACTTTTATGAAGGATTTGCTATTAGAATAGCAGTTACAATATAAAGAAGAAAAGTGAAACATGTAAAAATAAAGGAGATATACAAAAATTATCACCATAGAAAAAATGAGATAGACAAAAATTATCACCATGTCAGTTAATAGTTGGGTAACCTTTAGCATGAATTACAGCCTTAAAATGTCTTCCCATGGAGTAAACCAAGTCTTTTAGTTCTGCAGTTTTTATAATATGAAACCAAGATTGAAGGATTGCTTCTATTAACTGGGTTTTATTGCTGGGTTACTTCTGACTAACAAGTTTCTTTAGCCGGCTCCATTAATTTTCAATTGGATTAAGGTCTGGGCTATTCCCAGGCCATTCCAGCAGTGGAATATGATTATCTTGAAACTCAAAAAAAAAAAGAAAGAAAGAAAGAAAGAAAATGGGGTTATTAGCCATCAAACCTCAAAATCTTTCCCCAAAAGGTTCCCTCAATTTTGGCCACTACTATATAGGGAGTGTCTATCCTTACTCTCTCCCTCTCTTTCCTATCTAGCTCTGGACTGTGCTGCCTCTTGTCTGGTCCTGCTTCCTGGAATGTGCTCCCTCCTTCCCGGGAGATTGCCTGTTCACTGTATTCCATCAAAGCCAATCTCCCTTCTTAGTTTTGAGTGAATGGGATGGGAGTATATATATCCTGGAAGCACGAAGCCAAGAACACCAGCCTGAAGATGACGAATGAGACTTCATCGAAACGTCGCCAAGACACTTCCAATTTTACGTGGGAGAAGACCCGAATAACCAAAGACCTACATACAAACACCCGCGAAAACCTGAGAATATATATATATATATATATATATATATATATATATATATATATACAATATATATATATATATATATATATATATTCACACACACTCACACACACACACACTCCCTTTTTACGATGCTATAATTCCTTAATTCAGGGTAGAGTCAGGGCGACTGGATAGAGCTGAGAGTTTACTGACCAGATGCTCTTCCTGATGCCTACATGGAGTTCACAGCAAATATTTTTTCTTTTGCTCCCAAAGAGAGAAACATCTGCCGCTACCTAGGATTGAACTCTCAACCTGTAATCACACTACATCTTCCTTCATCAACGATCTCCTACTTATCATCCCATTTTCAAGGACAGTGGTATATTACTGATATCCTTTATAACTTGAAGTTGCTGTGTACATTTCTTCGATATCTGTGCCTTTTATAGAGCTGTGGGAAAAACCATTGGCTTTTGCATGAAATGTTATGCAGCTGTTTGATGTCTTTTGTGCATCTATCTGGATAAGCAAGGCTCTCTGGTTTGGCTGGGTGTAAATCTTAAGTACTAGAAAAAAATGGAACACAATAGTTTGAAAGGTAAATGACAACATGTTTTCCTTTGTCATTTTTCAGAATAAGCCACATATCCTATAGCATGCTGCATCCACTTATCTCTACAAAATGTCAGAACATCTAACATCACTGCATCGCATGTGAATAAATATAAGCAGATCTTCCAGGATAATCTTTTTGCACAGGCACTTCAAATATAAGGGCCAAGCAGAGGCTGTTTGAATAGACATGAAGATAATATCTCCTTTCTCAGAACCAAATTGGAATCTTTCATTTTACTTTGTAATAAGACTGGTACGATACATAATTTTTTCCCTGCTCCCTCCCTTTCTCTCCTTAGTAATAGATTTCTTTCTCTGAAAACAAATGCTGGTTGGTGATAAGTTGCAAATTTTTAAAAAGCAAAATAGAAAAGTAGTCTATTACCAACAAGTCTAGCTGATTTGCCAAATTAATGTTTTAGATCACCGTGCAGCAGTAGACATAATTAAATGTCAGAGAGAGTGGGAGAGAGGACTCAATGCATGAATAAAGTATCTTTTATTTTATCATTACATTTTGATAATAAAATTTACTTGTCATCTTAATATAATAATGTAGCTAACAAGGTAATTTATTTCTAAATCTAATTGAGATGTACAGAATGAAGAAGCAAAGCCTTCTGAGATGTTGCGTTCCCTCTGTTGGAGAGAACTTATGGAAGCTGAGAAGAAATCTAAAGACAAATCCATTGAACAAAAACCTGGGAATGATATATGAGACAAGCAAAGGGCAAAAAGGAGGAAGCAGAACAGGTTTAGCAGATTAGGGTGGGTGGAATGATGGTCTGATTGGTCTTAATCAGGGGTGGGATTCAGCCGATTCAGACCAGTTCAAGGAAACCGGTAGCTCTGACGATCAGCTGAGAGCGAACCGGTTTGCTCCAACGATAAAGTGGGCACACCCGCCCACCCATTCCTGCGCTACATCAACCTATATTTCCTTTGTTTGAAGCCCAGCTGATAGGCGCGACAGAGCGGATTGCCAAGCCTCAGCTGTTTTACTCACCGGGGATGCACTAGAAGGTAAGTTTTAGAGCTGTTTTCAAACGCATTGCTCGTGCACAGAGCATCTTTGGCGGAGTGCACG